TTGACAGCTCCTGTGGTATTTGCTTCCGCCTCCATCTCCTTCAGTGTGATATTGACATGGCAGCCAGTGTGACATCAGCCTACAAATCGACCCTCAAAAAACATTTCATTAATTTAACTCAAGCCATGCAGGTCAAGACAATGGCACTATCCTGCCATCTTTCATTTTCTCTTCCCATCATCTCCTGGTCTCCTCAGTTCACTCTCTTTTATCTCCCTCTTGTCACTCTTGTTGACCATGCTACCTTTCTTTCTCTCTTCACCTGTCAGTACAGAAATAGTTCTCTCCAAATAAAATCTCTAAATTGTTGTAAATAGGCCAGTGTTCAATACATTTAATGAAGAAAAGGGCAATATGCAAATGACAAGAATAATAAAAAGAGGAAGAATAAAAAGAAAAACAGGTAGAAATGGGTTTTTATTTCAGTTGAGGTATATTTGTGTGAGGATACATAGATGTAATATGTTCACAAACACATTCTTAAGCTCTGCTCACTGATAAATGGGTATATTCAAGTGTCATGATTGCATCAATTTCTTCTGTGGGATGTTCATGTGTATGTTTGTATGTAGTATGAATAATGCCCAAAGGCAGCTGTAGTCATCTCTGCATCTCAGGTTGAATTGCCTTGTTTTAATGTTTGTATATTGTTGGACAAACTGGAAAGTACACTAATTTGTACTCTTGAGAATACCACTCCTCCCTCTGTACAGTAAATATTAAGCTATAGCCAGCAGCTGGTTAGCTTATGTTAGCCTTACTTTGTCCAGAGGTGGCAAAATCCACTCATTAGCACCTACAGTATAAAGCTCACTATGTCATTTCTTATATCTAAATTTAAGCATGTTGATTGTTCCATGTATTTGAGGATGTTAGATATAATGTTACAGTGCCCATCAGAGCCTCTAAATCTCCTGATTGTGTCTTCTATATCCCCAATACTCAGCTGGGAGCTGTGCTGTGAAAATCACTGAGTGTACCTTTGATTTCAAACATTTGCAAATTAGTAAATGTGCTTTGTCTTTTTGCTGGCATAAAAAATAGAAAAAAGCCAGATAATACAGTGAGTAATTCTCAAACGGTGTCTCACAACATACATTTACTGTGAGCCGTGTTGAGAATTGTTTGTTCCTGTGTAAATGGCATGTTGTGGGTTCATTGTAGTCAGATGGGCCCTATATATAAAATCTGTGTGGGCAATGAGTGTCATGGCAGCGTGTGGTTAATAGTGAGTGTCAGGCTGTGCGTGTACGTGCATGGACATATGTATGTATCTGCTACATGTGTATACCTAGTATGCATGTGTGGGTATGAGCATATGTATGAAGAATATGTGGAAACATACCATTCCACAGCACGCGGTTTTCTTGTGTGTAGATGTGTGCGCATGGCTGAGGTAACTGACCGTGTAGTCACTCCAGAGGGCTCAATTTAAATGTCAAGGATGTAACATTAACACCACAACACTGGAGTGGGCAACCCTGCTCTGTGATGGAATGGCGCCACCCACACTTCCAACTTAATGAAACACTTCCCTGCATCCCTTTTCTGACTGATCAGTGTGGAAAACAAAGTTCAGAAAAAGCACAAATTGGCAGGATTGTTAGGACTGCTGAACAGGGGCGCACCTAGAAAATGTTTGGACTTGCTGGCGCATATAAACTATTAATTATTAAGAAACTAATTATTTATTTTGTGTAACAATAAGCACACAGTGCTTTCTTCAACTAACTTTGGCTATGCTCCTTATTTACTCCCAGCTGGGGACATTGAAGTTGCACAGTGGTTCCTTCCACTGAGGCTGAATCATGCCAAGTACACCACTGCAACACAAATGCATATAAATATCATGCATGTACACATTTATTTTATGATATAAAATAACACAACTTTGACCAATAGCAATCATAGGGCACCAGAAAAATATGTGTTGCATTTAAAGCAACAATGTGTCATTGTTTTTCATACAGTTTCCTACAGGGAAATACAGACTGAGACATGCTTACACAGATAATGCACATCTGTAAATACACACACACTCACACACAGAGGTACCTCCATATGGAGCAAAAATAATCAGTCACCTAAGCCATGTTTTAAAGCAGAAACTTCAAAAACAATTCTGTAGTTTGAGCTTCTGAAACATGACATTTGTTGCTTTGTTATATCAAGGTTCACAGACGGGTTCTCTAATATCTGTTAGTATGTAACAGAACCCAAGCTTTTGTTTGTGTATGTGTGTGTCAGGGAAACATGCATAACAAATTAAACCGGACGTGTCAGAAATATGGGAGCAACAGCAAGTGGTCGACAAACTGAGAAAGGACAGGAAAGAAACCAAAAATGCATGAGAACGGAGGACAGTGTGAAGGAGGGAGAGAGGAAACCAAGCAAGGAGGGAATAAATATGTGGGTGCCAATGTAGCAGAACTGAAAGTCACTTGAGTTTTAATTTCCTGTCAGTGGAAGCGAGAACAATATCAAATATGAAACACAAGTTGCAGTGTTACTTTTACAGGCTACTCACTGGGTTCACACTGGTGACATCTATAACATCATCACTCCGTCTCTGTCTCTCTGCTCTTCTATTTTACTTTATTGCATAGACACACACACATATGAGTTTATATGAACGTACAGTCACAAAAACGCAGTAAAATGCACATGCACAGACACACAGTTCCACACAAACACAGTGTAATGGCACTAATAAGATGCATGACTAACACCTCTTCTGTCCCTTCTTCAGATGAGTGCTTATTATGGTCTGTCAAGGAGATGAGTCAGTCTGTGTCATGGTTACTATGGTGATCAAAGCCTCCAGCACTTCCCTTAAGTGCATGCTGGCTAAAATAAGTGTTTTAACCCCTGTAACTACAGACCTATCAGGAAACAATGACACTTGCACAGGAGCACACATGCACACCCGTTCAAGGAGGCAAGTTGACTCTCTCGGCTCCCTCAGCTAGACAGGACAAAATAAAATCCCCCCACTGGGAGTTCTTAGAAAACAACAATGTTGTAAACAAGATTACAAAGAGGAAAACAAGAACCAAATGAAGAAAAAGAAGAAATCAACAAGGTCTTATTGTCCTGTTTACACAAACTAAAACTTTTGGGCCTCAGCACGTTAAACAAACAGATCATTTCAGGGTGCAGTGAGCGCCCTGTACAGGGCTGTTTGTTGCTGCTCCACTCACCACAAGGTCCTGACCTGATGCTGTTTGGGCTTTCTGGCTCGTCACACAGGGCATCACAGGCAGACCCTGTTGTTTCAGCTTTGGTACATGACCAAACTACTAATAGAGACTGTTTTTACCAAACTGAGGGGGGAGAAAAAACTATTTGATTTTGAACCCCATAGCCGAGTTCATGTGCATTCATAAACTGCAATTGTTGAGTATATAGTGATATAAATAGTTAAGATAACATGGTAAAAATGTGGATTATGTGGATTAATTTATAAACTGTTTGTCAATTAGATTTTTGTAATTTAAGAGAAAACTTTGTAAAATGATGTTGAGCTGTTTTGTTCTATTCCCAAACCTCAGCAATGAAACTACAAAGTGTAACCAATCTTACTGTATGTTTTCAAGGCAGACACTGGCTGTGTGTGAAATCACCACCTGGTTGACACTTTGACTAATGTCCATAGGCTCCTTAGTAGTTTACCATACAATGACCAGTAAATTAATACTTCAGACACTTATTAATCATCATCATTTTGTCTGACTGGTGTAGTGACACCATAAACTGTAATTTTTCAACTATAAAATGTCATATTTTACTGGTTAACAGGAAGTCTTGTAAGCTACATACCATGGATACTACTGTTTTTTGGAGACGTGGACGAGAGCATAGATTTACACACTCAAATACAGGATGGACACAAAAAATGGTGTGCTGTGGTGGGGTATATAACCTACTGTAAGAAGGATTTTATCTCAAACAGTATTGGATTTGCTACAGCAAAAAATGCACAGATATTAATTAATATGAATAAAGATACTGTAGCCTAGTCCAGCATCATTTAAGCAGTGGGATTTGGAAGTGGCACACAAACCAAATGCAGTTGTCATTAACATTTTTAATTACAACTATCTCTTCTGCTATGACAAAATGTGTGATGTGTGCCCAGTAGCCTAAGTAAAACCCAGGATCTAAAAACACAAAACATACCCTTAAGCTTGGACACAGTATTAAAGTATTGCTTATCAGTGTTATAGTAAATATGTACTGTAAGTAGGCAAGATTCTATTTTAGCATTTAAAAATCTTGATGGCGCTTGCAAATAGAGCTACATTTTATTTGTATTTGTATTTTTGCCAAAAATGTTGCTAAAAATTGCATCAAAGTCACCTTAATCTGTTGCAATAAAAATGACAATGAACACCTTTTTATCAAGATCAAGACTACAGGTGCATCTCAGGAAAAGTAGAATATCGTGGACAAGTTTTTTCCCCCTGTAATTTAATTCAAAAGTCAAAAAGTCTATAATATATTCTAGCTTCATTACAGGTAAAGTGAAAGCTGAAAGAGCCCCAACCAAATAGTAGATGCAGTGCATAAATGAGTATACTTATCAGAAGTTGGACATTTCAGTATTGTAAATACTTTTTTGCAAACTTTAGGAGCAGTTTTGCAAACTTTTTGATTGATCTTATTAAATATTCTAATATTTTGAATTACTGTATTTTGGATTTTCATGACCTGTAATCTCTAATCATTGAAAATAAAACATAATGGCTTGAAATATTTCACTTCATGTGTGATGAATCTAAAATAAATGTGTTTCACTCTTTAAATTAACTTACGTAAAGTAAAACAACTTTCCTCTGATATCCAAATTTTTGAGATGTACCTGTAACCCCGATTACCTGCAATCAAATTGCGCAAGCAACACCTGAGTGTTTTTTCCCGCCCCGTAGCCACTTTTTTTAAAGGTCTACTGCGCATGCCCCAGCTGGTCATATGACATAAGACTGACACAAAGAACTGTCGAGAGAAATGAGAGGTTTACCGTTGTGTGCTTCCGTGTTGGCTCGGTAGACAGACTGGCTACAATAAGCCACTAATAAAGCGCAGGGAGCTAGTGATTATATTATTAAAGTAATAAGCACGAGCTGACGTTGTTAAAATGTTTTTCCTATCTGCAATTTTACCTAAAATAATCTTGTTTAGATCTGCTTTAACTGCCGACAGCTAGTTAGCTACACTGCTAGCTTGCGTGTTAAACCTTTGGGCTTTAGCTAACTGTCTTGACCATGGAAGTTAAAATGTCAATCTTTGATAAAAGTTTCAGTTTACCGTACTTAAAGGCGTGCAGAGGACAGGGGTCATCAGAAAAGTCAAACCGGGACAGGACAGTGCAACAAGCTGGGTCAGAGCTGATTGACTGAAGATGCGGTTGAGCGGTGTGCTAGTGTGTGTGCTCCTGCTTTGTATCGAAGGGTCCTGGGGTGATACGCCGGCCAACTGTACCTATGAGGACCTGGTAGGGACATGGGTGTTCCAGGTGTCCAAAGGAGGACACGACAAGACTATCAACTGCTCCGCTGAAGGTAAAACCTCATCACAGTACTAAATGTTCATACCATGGAGCCTATCAGTAACAGTGATGAAGCAGTTTCGCTATTTGGGAGCATGTGGCAGAGCCTGTAGAAACAATAGCAGGTGACCAGCTCTCACTTCCTGTTTGTGATCTGGTTTGAGTATGAACACTTCATACACGGATATTTGTCTAACACAGACTTGCTGCTTACTTGCTGTGAGTGAGTGTGTGTGTGTGTGTGTGTGACCTGCCAAGAGACTGCAAGTGATTTATGAAAACACAACCCTAATGAATTAAAGAGCTAATGTGAAGGACAAGCAAAGTGTCATGCTGGATGAGGATTTTCTACAACTGCATGCTGTTCTCCTTAATTGCTTCTAAGTGATCCACAAATCATTAGTAAAAGATGTAGGCCTATTAACCATTAGTATATTTTATTATAGCTTGGTCTTCAGATGTTTTGTTTCACCCACAGTCCAAAACACAGTTATATTTTACTATCAATTCAGTTTACTCCTTTAAAAGAAAGCATCAAATCGTCACATTTGAGAAGATGGAAGCAGTTTGTCATTTTTACTTAAAAATAACAAATATCTATTTGATTATCAGAATACATTCATATTTTGTCCTGTTAATCGACTAATGGTTGCAGCTCTAATTTAGACAATCATACACCGTGTGCTGTGTTGTTCCTCCTCAGCTACTGGTGAGAGCACCGTAACCGTGACCCTGGAGAAGCTTTTTGTCGCCACAGACGAGCTGGGGCACACTGGCTTCTTCACCCTCATCTACAACCAGGGCTTTGAAGTGGTCATCAATGGGTACAAATGGTTCGCGTTTTTCAAGGTGAAGAAGCATCAAAGTGGATTTATTTGAGCGATAATGTTATTTAGTCACAGTAATGACTCTGAAAGCTGTCATCATCTGCTGGTTGGTCAAGTTTTCACTATGCTGACAGTGCTTGCTGTCCCACTCATAAATTATAAGTCGGCTGTTGTGTCATGTGCTGCTCACCTGCCTTGAACCAGGTCAGCTGGTTACAAACTGTTTGTAGTTAAAGTTCAACTCGTCATTCTAAGTAATGAGACCTTTGGTGCTCATTGAAAATGCAATGATTAGAAGGTTGTTGTGTTTGTCTCTAAGTGGCAGCCCTGTGATAGACAACCCCCCCCAAAATCTAGAAGCAATATAGATATTGGATGGAAGTTGTGTTATCACTCAGTTTGCTTCCTTTATCCGATATGACTTTATCAGCAATATATGCATATCTTTGGTTCACTAAGAGCAGCCTGACGCACTATATTCAGCAGTAATCTATTAGTCATGTGGTACTTCTCATCACTCACATGACACGAAGTTGAGAAACGCGTCATAGCCTGTCTGTCCTCAAACCCACATTATGATTTGTCCATGTTTTGTTCACTTCCCCCTTTTTATCTTATTCTAGGCATAGGAGGAGGAGGAGGAGGAGGAGGAGGAGGAGGGTGTTGTAGTTCTTTCTTATGTTTATGTATTAAGTGTATTATAAGTTTGTAATTCTAAACTTAAAATTGCTATTCTAAGCTTGTACAACAATGAACTGAAAGTAGCTTACTTGATAAGGGATAATGTGAAGTTAATTCTGTTTTCTTTTTAAACATGAGTGTTCATAGTTGCATCAAGTGATATGGCTGAGTTGTATATTGGATGACAAGCTCCAATCTGTTTGTCTCCCTACACTTTCAGTACACTCAGGAGGGCCCTAAAGTAACCAGCTACTGTGACCAGACCCTGCCGGGGTGGGTCCATGATGTTCTTGGGAACAATTGGGCTTGTTTTTTAGGGAAGAGAGTGAAACCAGTACCGCCCAGAACAGATTTCAAACCAGTCTTCAGCAGTAGGTATGTAAATTATGGTAACAAAGTAGAGAAATGCACGCAAGCTTGTGTGGACTGTGATTTTAGTTTTGAGTTTATTGTGCAGTTTTGACATTTCTGCTTTAATTTACACTTTGTTTTGCTCCCTCATTCCCCCTGTGATGTGAACAGAGTTGAGCTGTATTTACATTGCCTGCTGAAGTTACTCAGGAAATAATGGTTTTATTTGGCTGTTTGTGGGACAGTTTTTTTTTTTTTAAACAATCTTGCATACAATCTTAAGCTACATTAACATTACAGGTGTTAATGCTCAATTCCAATCTTGTTCCTAGATCTGAGCTTTGTGTTGTTCACATTCATGTTTGTAAGTGACGTGTATCCAGCTCTGATTTGAACACCACTGAGGTCCTGAACTACCCCGCATAAGCAGATTGAATTGAAATGAGAGGCGTCATGTGCACACAAGAATAACAATAACAACATAGCTTAATTGACCCTCCAGGCTGCTCCAGATGCCATACAAACACAACCTGGACTTTATTGAGACCATCAACTTGGTTCAGAAATCCTGGAAGGCCATAGCCTATTCGGAGCACGAGATGTATACTCTGCAGGAGCTGCACTACAGAGCAGGAGGGCCTGCCTCTCGTATCCCCGTGTAAGTATTTACATGCATTTCCTCTACTATCTATGAAGGCTGTCAGGTGTCCTGGAGGAAGAAAATATGAATGCCTGTAAGTAATCTGTGCTTAAATTAATAACTAGTTCTCTCAAAATTACTGTTATTACTAGTAATGTTTTTTTTTTCCTCCAATGGTGTTGAGCATTGTTCTGTTCATTAGGCTGAGAAGTGTGTGAAACTGCCCTTATACACTATACAATGCTTTAATGCTTGTTCTCATAAGGATTTCTGATTGGTTTTCAGTATCAGAAAATATAATATGGCTCTTTTTGTATTACCTTTTAATGGAATATGCATGACAGGCACCAAATTTGCTATCTTCTACACAACCAAATTTGTCTGTAAATTAATCCTGTACTTCACCTGCAAAAGAAGTAGGCTGACAGATGCACCTTACCTAAGGTGGCTCTACATGCATTTCATTTCCAAAGTTATTGGGTTTTCTGTAAAAATGCAAAATGTCAGACTGATTTAAATGAGGCTCTTTGTTTTTACTTCAGGCGTGTTCGCCCTCTGCCTGTGACGGCCAATGCAGCCAAGATGGCGGCTGCTCTGCCTGAGAGCTGGGACTGGAGAAACGTTAACGGTGTTAACTTCGTCAGCCCTGTGCGAAACCAAGGTGACATTTAATAGTTGTCTCACAGAAACCTTGAAACTCAGTATTTACTGTCATATGCAGACATGCAAAAACATTGGCTTGTTAGAACATCCCAAAAATCAACTCTACAGGGATGTAGACGACAGTATTCTACCTGTGCACACACGATATGAGAAACTGAGATGCAAATATGAGAACATTCTAAATTGGATGACTTTTAAGGTCCAAGGTGGACAAAGCCATACTTGGTGGAGCAAGCAGTCAGTAAGTGCTGACGCTAAACAGCAGCTCACCAGCTACTATGCTCCCCTCTTGGTAGGTCCGAGTCTGGTCTCCTTCTGTGTTTTTTCCACTCCCTTGTGTGAGTGGAGAGAGTATGTGTGCTGAGTAGTTTGTGTCTGAGGGGGCCTCTGTAGGGCTGACTTTAAGGATCTTGAGAGGGCTGAAGTGTTTCAATAGAAGCCCTCTAAGCCGCTGTGCCTTGGAGCTGATTTTTGCAGTAATATTACAAATCAGGTGTGTGGTTTTTTTTTTCTTTGTTTTTTTTTAGGTTCCAATTAATTTATAAAAAAATAGGATTAAGAATAAATTGGTCTGGCTGGTCTTACAGTGACAAGAAAAAGTATGTGAACCCTTTGGAGTTAACTGTCTGCAGCAACTAGTCATAAAATGTGATCTGACCTTCATCTAGGAAGATTTTTACATGAAGAGCAAGTACAGACAAATACACAGTTAACTTATGTGCTTACTGAATACACCCATTTAACATTCACAGTGCAGGTAGAAAAAGTAAATGACCTTTTGGATTTAATATCCGGTTGAACCTCATCTACAAATCAGATCAGTGCAATATTCAGGAGGAATTTAAGACCTGCTTCAGCTCAGAAATGTCGGGTGTGACTGACTCTCTTGAGGTCGTTCCACAGCAGCTCTGTTGGGTTAAAGGCCTGGGCTCTGACTGGGCCGCTCCAAAAGGTGGATTTTGTCTCTGAAACCTTTTAAAGGAAGATACAGCATTGTAAAATAAATAAATAAAATTAAAGCTCCATCACAAACTCTGCAAGAGAGCAGCTAACTGTTTGTCAAACATGATATTCTGTTTTATTTTTTCTTTTCAGAAAGTGATTCAATTAGAATGGCAGACGTTTCCCACTAGTATAAAGTAGGTTTTTCATTTAAACGAAGGATTGTTACACTGAGTCTTAAGGGCCTTAAAGTCTTGCATCCATATAAAAACTTATTACAATTAAACCCCCCTACAAATCCCTACAGCCTCTGTTCTCTGACTCAATTTGTTTCTGCACAGCATTTTATTAAGAAGCTGGTGTCTCGCGCTACGGATTGTAATCAGCGTATCTGCGTGTGCCTTGCTTCATTATTACACATAACCACTAAAGCAGATAAGGGTGCTGATGCAGGATCATTACAGAAACTTTAGTACTGATGTAATATGCTACTGAGCATGAATGCATTTCTTTGAGTACCAATAAAAGTACACAGCCTTAGTATTGGGGCTTTATGTCGAGGGAGTCATCAGGTTGTGTAGGTGTCTCCACGGTACCTTTTGGCCAGTTTTTGTAGACTCTGAGATATTGATGTACAATACCACTACTAATTACAGCCCCTAAAAATGCCTAGTGCTGATCTGGACATGCGCAGCACTGCTGAACATTAGAAGTGTCACAAACTTAGAATTTATTCCATATGTTTGTGTCGCACAGCAGTGTACATCTTTGTTGTTCTGTTTCAGAGTCATGTGGTAGCTGCTACTCTTTTGCCTCCATGGGAATGCTGGAAGCTCGTATTCGAATCCTCACCAACAACAGCCAGGCTCCCACCCTCAGCCCTCAACAAGTGGTCTCTTGTTCAGAGTATTCTCAAGGTAAACGAACACAGTCTAAAATTCTCTTTTTCTACTTTAAAATAGTTGATGCAGAGTATTTCAAATGTAAGTGGGCAACAGTTAGAAAAGGTACATTCTTTACTTGGCCAAATATTCATGTTGTGAGACAGTAATCAGAAGTGCAGTGCTGCTTAATGTCATCAGTTTTCCTCCCTAATTAGAACAAGTAGTGTTTTTGGAAAGTATATCGTAACAGCCTCTAGAAAGTCAAGTGTTTCCTAACTGCCCTGATTAGTGTATTTTCATTAATCAATTTGAAGAATCCCAGAGAGATGTCAGCTTTATTAGAAAGTCGAGGTACCTTCTTGATCATTTTGAACTGTATATGAACAAACCAGATCTAACATTCAGTTCTCCCCTTTGAGGTTGTGATGGTGGATTCCCATACCTCATTGGGAAGTACGTGCAGGATTTTGGCGTGGTGGATGAGTCGTGCTTTCCATATGTTGCAAAGAACACTCCATGTGGTGTTCCTCAAAACTGTGGCCGCATATACACAGCTGAATACAACTACGTCGGTGGATTTTACGGCGGCTGCAGTGAGACTGCCATGATGCTGGAACTGGTCAAGAATGGACCCATGGTAGTGGCCTTTGAGGTACAGCAGCAGCTCACTGCTTCCTAACCGCTGTTCCTATACATACAGTATAATTTGGGTGGTTTGATCTGTTGCCACAGTTTAGTTTTAAGTTGTTTAGTCTGTGTTACCATGTAATCTTTCTCATGTTTTATCCCAAACTCAGTTGCTGTTTGTCCTGACCTGTCCCTTTCCTTCCACAGGTCTACCCTGACTTTATGTTCTATAAGAAAGGCATCTACCACCACACAGGCCTCGCAGGCCCCTTCAACCCCTTCGAGCTGACCAACCATGCTGTGCTACTGGTGGGGTACGGCCGCTGTGATGAGACTGGACAGAAGTACTGGATTGTCAAGAACAGCTGGGGGGCAGATTGGGGTGAGGATGGCTACTTCCGAATCAACCGGGGAAGTGACGAGTGTGCCATTGAGAGCATCGCAGTCGCAGCCAAACCTATCCCCAAACTATAAGAAGCTTTAACTCTGGATCGGAGGAACAAGTGTATTTGCACTGACTGTAAATTTCTTCCCTATGTGCTTAGCTGTATTTCATTGTAAGCTTAAGATGAAAACGCATTTAGCTTTTAATGCCAGTATTCTCCAAGGCTTTTTTTTTTTTTTTTTTTTTTTTTTTTTTATTAAAAGGGAACTCCAACCAAAAGTAGCAAGTTAAGTTAAATTAAAGAATGTAAGCTTTGTATGGCTAAATCTAAAACAGTTCAAATTGATAAAGCAGCTGTCAAGTGCTTAAATGTTTACAGTTGTGGATGGTAATGGAACCAGTGACTTTCATTAATTGGTCAGAAAGAAACATGAAATGTTGGTTAGTTTTTGTCATTCAAGCCTCACCTACATGACGCTGGCTTATGGTGTAACACATAGTGAGAGGCAAGACCCAGCTGAGAATTACTGTGAAGAGTTTTATCATCTGACCTCTGTAGATGTAGTAAAGTGAGGCAGGTTTAATCCTTCAATAATTAAAAGCAAAAGTAGGCACACGGACTGTTTTTATGGTTGGATTTTAAGTATTACCACACCATTTACAGCACCTAAAACAGATTTATTTTTTTAATTGCTTGTTTTCATGCTCTTTTCTTTCTTTTATCAAAGTCTTAAGTTGAATTTACTGTCAGCCATGTACTGTGTTGACTTTAAAAAAAAAACTTTTCTCATTTTCAGCAGTTACTGATGAGTTGCCTATGAATGATTTAATTCTAGCTGAAACTGCCGATACACACTTGGAATCCAGGTCTCCTCTAATTGAGGAGTCTCTGGAAGACTTTGGTTGTTTCTCAGGGGAGAATTGTAACCTCTTTCTTTTGCATCAAGCTGAAGCCACAACTGCCATGAGGTCACTTGTTTTATGTGAGTGAATTTAAGGGCTTTTTTTTAAAACACTGCCCCCTGTTGATTCATTTGTTGAAAGGTAAAACAGGTAAAATAATGAGATTTGCAGTTTGTTTTCCATTTGATGCAATAAAATCATTATTTCCAATATGTTTTGGTTTGTATGTAAGAAGGGGTTTTTGAACTGTATGTAAAGTCATGTTCCAGCAAATTCTCAAATTTGCAAAAATTAAATGCCTAAGAAGGAGGAACAATATAACCTAAGGTGATAAATGAATGATGTCCAGAAAAACGTTTGTGTACGAGCCCAAGCTTCTTTATGTTAAAATCTATAGTTTTATTTTCATGTTCATAAGTAGACTGCATTTAATTACACCAGAGAGATTACAGTTTCGTTTAATGCTCGCACTTCTACTCCATAAGAAAATTCGTAATTATTGCCCCACTACATTTATCTGACATAATTTGCAAGTTAAAATTTTATGCACATAAAATAGACCATGTTAAAAAAAAATCAGCTAAACTACTAAAATGGCTTCAGCATTAAAATGTTGCTTATGTCAATGCACCAGTCCAATAGCTTGGTACATAGTAAGACATTATGCTGCATGCAACATAGGCCCAACCTAAGTCAAATTTGTAACGCAAGTTTTTAGCTTTTTTTCTTTAATACCTGTAATGGCACGTTTTTAATGCCATAATATTGCTACTTAAATAATTTAAATACTTCTAACAGTGTTGACTTACTGAAGATAAATGTTTGTCCTCTCTGGCTTGTAGGGTTTAAATACACTCCCATGTCGCTCCTCTGCGTGAATCACAAGGTCCAAACGTCTCTGCTCCACTTCCCTCTGCAGACCAGGGCGTATCTTACCTCCCCTTCTGGTTCCCAGCTCTAGTTCCCTCTGCGCCGTCCTGCGCTGCTCCCCCTTTCGTCCTCTGGCCCTCTCTTTCCCGGTGGATTCATGCTCGGCTCTCGCACCCCTCGCTCGCCATGCAGAACAACCACCATATGGAGCATCTCTATAAGATTCTTGTGATAGGTGACCTCGGGGTCGGCAAGACCAGCATCATCAAGCGGTACGTTCATCACAACTTCAGTCCCAACTACCGAGCGACCATCGGGGTGGACTTCGCGCTCAAAGTCCTCAGCTGGGACCGGGAGATGGTGCGCCTACAGCTGTGGGACATTGCAGGTACGTCCAACTTTTACGCAGGGCTCACATAAAAAACCAGGAGGGCGAACAAATACTAAGTACTGTCGATAATTTGACAGGAAAACAAACGAGTAAAACAATCTTAAACTGGAGCCAAATAGGAGCACAGGTTGGAGCCAGTGATTAAATATGATGTTATGATTTTGGTGTCTCCTGGTCACTAGTAGCTAGTATTCCTGCTCTAAAACTACTGCAGTTGTAGGACAGAGTATCTTGTCCCTGATGGCTATTCACCAATTCTCTGTTAAAATATGACAGGCCTTTCTAAATGTTGTTCATGTGCTTTTATTTTGGATCAAGCGATACTCCTTTGCTCAGATCTGATGAGCGAAGCCTTCACTTGCTTTGTGAGTGTTTAATGCTGTTACTGCCTTTGGTGAACTCAGAAATAACAGGTTTTAGACACAAACCTAAAGGCTACAGAAATCCCACCTCACATGAGTGTCGGCAGAGGTTTGGGCCAGTTCTCCAACCTGCTCTACAACCTCTCTCCTCCTGTGCGCCCTCTCCAGCAGGCACAAGCAGTCATAGCAGTCATGTGTCTCCAGCTCATGTGAGTGAGATTTGAAGCCCAAGTTCTTGTATACAAAAAGCTTTTGTGAGCTACAGTAAGTGTCTCCCTCAGAGAAAACTGCTATACGCTGTAGGTCTTGTGCTGTACGTGCTCACTGCGCTCACCCTGGAGTTATAAAAGGCCTGAAGTGGGAAAGCCTAAATTTTTAATCTTAGTTCTGCATAATTTAAGATGAGCGCTATTTATTACAGTATCTCATGGGTTCTGGATTTAGTCCTGATCCAAGAACAGACATTTGTAAGTGTTTTTGAATAATTATGTTTGCATCTGGCATTTATGAACCACATCTAAAATATATCTTGTTGGTTTTACGTTTCACTTGGCTCTGCATGGTTTGTTTGAGGATTTGATGATGGACTGAAGTTTTCTCAGGCCACAGCTGTAATAAATCACTTGCTGTTTCTGTGCGTTTTCCCAAGACAAATAACTTCAACCATTCTGTTTTCATTGGCCATTTTTCAGTGGCCTGTATGGACAGAGTGAGCTCCACAGGCCTATACATAATCCTATCAATATCTGATTGTTGGATGCAGGCAATTTGATACTTACATACAGTACAAGAAGAACTCCAGGTGTTTCGGGCCCCCAGCACCCAGCACACACACATTAACAGATAGTTTTCTGTCAAAGCTTCATTTGTCGTATGTCGCCTATCCTGTACCTGTGGTTGCTTCTATATAGGCCATACTAAGAGATGACTTAAAGACAGAGTTTCTGAACATAAAAATACAAGTGGGCAAGGTAACCTGGATTATCCTGTGGCTAGATGTTTCCAAGATGCACATAATAATCCTGATACCCTCTAGGTTGAAAGTCTGGAAACTATATATAAGAACACTCATGGTGGTGACTGTTTGAAGTTTCAGGTCACATCCTATCCAGGGCTGAACGATGATATTGATTTTAGCTAGACTATTATAGTACTGTACTATAATAATCCTTAATATGACGCATGCTTTTGTCCTTCTGATACTGTATGTCATTGAAGAAGTCGCACATCTTTGCAGCTGCTCTGCAGCTGGCCCGGTGCTCCGATCCACCTGTGCAAGAGAGCAGGTGAAGGGAAAACATTCCCATGGGCCTCAAGACAGTATATACATTTTTATATACAATGCAAACTGTTTTGGAAGGAATGGTCTAGGCTGTTGGTTAGTCACCCCACAAGCTGAGTGTATTCTGCAGCTGTACAGCTGGTACTGATGCTGCTCTAGCAGAAGGTATGGATCTGATAATCACTGTCGACACAACATTTCGCCAGGCGTATCAAACTAATTTTAACCTCACAAATTTTTGAAGACAGGCAAGCACACGTGCACACTTCTCTCCTCCTCCCATCCTGCCTCTGTCTATGTCTGTGTCCGATCTCTCTCTCTCTCTCTCTCTCTCTCTCTCTCTCTCTCTTTCTTTAGCTTTTGTAGCAGTAAAACATGCATTAAACTGCATGTTGAAGTGTTAGTGAGGTATACTGGGAATACTTGCATGCAGCACATATGAGACAGATAAAATGAGTAAAGCAGACAGTTTGAATACAAATATTTGTGTCTTTTTGCTGCAGAAGTGACACTGCTTTTTTCCTGTAAAAGAGCACAAAGTCAAAAGATGAATACACATTAATGAAAAATTCTAAATTGTACACTTTTACACTGCTACCAAATTCTAATATTTTTGGCTGTATATATCCTTGCGCTGTGTGTCTTCTAGGTCAGGAGAGATTTGGCAACATGACCCGTGTGTACTACCGCGAGGCCATGGGTGCCTTCATCGTGTTTGATGTCACACGGCCTGCTTCCTTTGAAGCCGTCACCAAATGGAAGGAGGACTTGGATTCCAAACTGACACTTGCCAATGGGAAACATGTAGCCACTGTGCTTTTGGCTAATAAATGTGACCAGGGTCGGGATGTACTGACCAATAACGGAATAAAGATGGACCAGTTCTGCCAGGAGAACGGCTTTGTGGGATGGTTCGAGACGTCTGCTAAGGTGAGAGACACACACATATAAAGCAGTAGCACAGCGAACAGGATGGTGCTGTGAATACAAAGACCAGCCTTAAACAGAAGCTCAGGCATTCTGTATCCTTCCCATTCAAATGTCCCTGAGAAGCAGCTGACTCACCCGCCAGCTGTCAGTATCAGATATGGCACCTGACTTCCCTGTGGAGACGCCACCACAGAGGAACATTCAGGATGTGAAGAAATCCTTAAAAAGTGTTGAGTTTAACAGACTCTCAGTCTGTTCAGCATTTGCATATGAATAATCCTCCATCAGCTGATATTCAACCCACAGTATTCCAGGTCAGCTGCACTGGCATCAGGTGCTCTATCATCCAGACAAGATGGCCAGGAATGTTGAAGGAATGCATCGGTTTCCTGTTGACCAGCACAGCTCTTAAAGGGGTAGATTGACATTATTTGGAACTACACTTACTTGCTCTATTGTTGTATTAAATATGAAGCAGGAGCCAGGGGCCAGTTAGCTTAGTATCAAGACTGGAAACAACAAGTCTGAGGATGCAGATGGAGTCATAGTATGTGGATCAACGCACTGGACAGTTAAAAACAGCATGTCATGTTTTATCTAGAAATACAGAGTTTCATATTATGAAACATTTTGTGTTGTTTATTAAATTATTATTACAGTAGCATGTTACTAGTTTATGTGTATATCACATTAACTTTTGCAGTCTGATTTGGAAATTATTTTTTATAGCAACAAAGTAAACATAAAACATTGAAAGTGTGAAACACACAAGGTTTAATATATTAAACTAATACAGAACTTAAATAATCTAAAGTAAAAGTAAGGTGTAATTGAAGAGTCAGTGGCACAGACAGAAATGTGGTGAGTGACTTCAGGTTGAGAGACAAGCTGAGGATTCACCCAGCTACACATGAACACACTGACACACCATCACAAGCCCTGATTATCGCAGCGAATGTGGAGCAGGAATCTCACAGCTGGATGCCAAGAACAGAAAATAGACTAAGACGTGCACAAAGACACACACACATGCACACCAACCATATACACAACAACAATTGCACTCAAATTTGACCAACAGTAAAATGTTCTCAGTTACAGAGGGTATATTAAACATATTTTTTACGTACTCTACTTGTATTTTGTTCCTTTGAACTTTAACTATGGGATGTTCACACCTAAGGCATATCAATCTGAAGCCCATACAGCTTTTTGTTTTATTGACGTACATTTTGACACTTCAAATGTCCGTGCATGTCTTTTCAAGCTGAATGAATGTGGAATCTTTCAGGGTGATAGCTGATGTAACCCAGCGCCTAAATAACCAGCCAGAAGAAAATCTTTCATGCTTTCATCTCAACCAATGCTGGACATGCTCTGCATGCACAGGGAAGGAAGTAAAGCTGGCAGACAACAGAGAAGGAGGTTGCTGTTGTTGTTTTGGTTTGACTTGGAAGAATTGTTTGTTCCAGATCTAACACAGTATATGACAGATCATGTCATGACGCACATAGAAAGTTTGTGTGTTAGATGCTGAGGGTGCTGCAGACGGCGCCATGTCACATCCAACTGAGCACATTGTTAGGTCCTATGTATATTCAGTATCTCTACTGTTCCTGCATCATGTGTGTGTGTGCGCTTCTAGCACCTCACTTTGACACCCAGGACTGTTTCTCTAGTCTACTCGGATTTCAGCTCTGATCTCTGGGTGCTGCTGAGAATGGACATTTAGCATCATTGCTATATTATGATGAAAATCAAATCTGGTAACATGTTTTCTAGAAATATCACTATAAAGCTTTGTAATCCTGGTTGTAATAATTCTGTAACTGGTTATCCTGATGGCGATGGTGTGTGTTAATGGCTAATGGCTCCAGACCTCTGTTATTTGTCATCTGTCTCTGTATCCTTTTTTCCTGGCTTTATCCACTTCAAATAAAAAAATGTTTGGCAACAGCATTATAAAGGGTCCGTCATGTAAAAATGACTTTCTCAGGAAACTCAAGCGCAGCAGTGCAAAAATCCTGTGTAAGGTTTTACCTAAATCAAATTACAAACTAGGAACGAGCTGCACTTAAAACATTTATTTCTGTCTTACTTGGTTAAGATAAATCAGTTGTTAGCACTGTTTATTTAAAATATGTCATTACCTATATTTTGTTGACACAGCTTTCATTCTGTCCTGTTAACATCACATTGTAGCTATCACAGAAAACACTCTGTGCCATTTTTCAGTCCTTCAGGATTTATTTACAAGACAGTGAGGTAGAAACAAATGTTGAGAATTGCATCATTATACATAATTTAGGTTTGAATCTGCATAACCTGGTTGTGTGTGGTTGGTGGCTTAGAGTAAACAATTATCAATTTTCTGACAGGAGCATTTTTGCTGGATTAAGAGTAAAAAACAAATAGTTCAAGGTGAGGAAACATTTTTTTATAGGCAGTTTTTATTGTATTTATTTACACAGCACTTTCTTAAAAACGTTTTCATTAATAGATTTTTCCCTCTTGCTCTCACTGCCTCATTCCTTCCCCTCTATTTCTAACACTCTCTTTTTTTGCTTTTTAACTTTCCCCCCGTTCTCAGGAAAACATAAACATCGACGAAGCGGCCAACTTCTTGGTGAAACACATCATTGCCAGTGAGCAGGACATGCTCCAATCAGAAGTCCCTGACACGATCACCCCCCGGTTAGACAAGGACAAAGGCGGGACGTGCTCTTCCTGCTTCAGATCCCAGTAACAGCTCCTGACAGCCGGACGTCCTTCTGCATCTCATTACACACAAAGACGAGCTTGTCTGTGAGCAAGAGTGAAGAATGACTTTGGCTGTTTTTGAGGAAGAAGGTGTGGGTGCCAGCTCTTCTCTCCTCTGGTAGCCTGGGTGGGGGTGGGGTGGTGGCTGGGGGGAGTGAGTGACAGAGGGGCAGCTGGCTCAAGAAATGGATGGACTGAAACAGAGCGAGAAGGAGAGATGGATGCAGCTGTGTGTGCTTGTCAAAGGCAAGGTTACCCTCTGGGCGACGTCAGAGCTTGACACTGCCACTTCGGTTACCGTGGAGACACACTTAATGAACACATGCACAAAAACACTGGAGTAAATCACAGTGTATCTGAACTAAAGATCCATTAACACACCATGTTTATTGTCTCTCTTTCTCCCGCCTTTCCCTTCCTTTTCTTTTTGGCCCCTTCATCTCCCCTCTGTGCTTTCGGTCTCTTGCTCACTCGTTTTTTTTGTTTGTCTCTGCTTGTTTCTTTCTCCTCGCCTTCCATATATGTTGTTTTCCACCAAATATCCAAACCAATTTACTACAGTTACATTAGATCTAGTTTCATTTTATCTTTCTTGGTCATTTCTATAACAATGTCCTTTAAAGACTGGGGCCAGTCCTTTGTTGTCCTTCTGTATGTACAACTGGTGGCTCCTAATGTAATATATACTACATATTATATTGAAAAAGTGCCTTTTATAATACAGCCCATTTTACTGAATGTCGTCAATAGGTATATTCATAATATATTTTAAGTGCACTTAAAGGTATTTACGATGACCTTCATCACTGAAGTAGAATTCTAATTTCCATGGTGACATAGTAACATGTATGAGAAATTAAAAAGAGTGAGAGCATGGATAATGTTAGTTCAGTGATTTTATATTAAATTTCCATTTTTCTTTTCAGTATTTATAATATGTTGGGATAAATGCATTTATTGTATATACACAAACAGTATACTGAGACAGATGATAGAACCAAAGATGTATCCAGTTTTCAACATGTTCTTATGAATAAACCAGATCTTTACTGACATGTATGGCTGTGATATATAATGTCATTTTCTTTTTCTCTGCACACCCAGGTGTTCAGAGAGACCCAGGTGTAAATAGTTCCTCCCTAACAGGTACAACACACTGACAGGAGAGTCAGGGAGCTGTCAAATAACACTGTGCACAGCCACATAGTGCTGAGAGAAGGTCTGATCAGGAAACAAGTCTGTGTAAGTGGACTATAGGTGTACAAGGCCTTCAAGTGTAATCCGATCATTTACTTTTCCAGATTTTAGCATCAGGTTCACTCTTCTGCTGTAAACTGACATTGAAAACCAACTCTCTACAATGTTGTGTACATAACATATATTAGATTAGGTTGCAATGGATACAATCAGTAATCAGTGTATCTTTTCTGCTGTGTTTCTCACTGCATGTGTTTGCCCTTGATAAAATATGATTTTCCAGAGGAACAAAGTTCCAGAAAATACTTGTTGTTTGTGGAGTTTTTCTTGCATGACTGGCCTCTGACCTGCCATGTGACTACAGCAAGGCCTTCTTTACTTTCATACCCTCATAACACACAGTCTCCAACTACTGTACAATGAATTTATTGATACTGATTGTAACGTCTTTGACAATATAATTTCTTCCCATTTGGAGGTTTTTGCTGTCAAAAGTGAACTTGGGTTTGAGATTGAACAGGTACACTATTATCCATTAGCTGTCATCTGTCAACATAAACAATGACCAACTCCAATTCTCTGTGACAAAATAAAAGAGCCTCTGATCACTGTTATATATGATAACTTTCCCTATGTATGATGCTAAAATCCGCCTGTGGCTCCTTTCAAGATTTCAGTATATTTTCTGTGGTAAAACAATACTGTCCTGTTAACCAGCCTTTCTCGATCTTTGGCCTCCACCAGTCCTCTCTTTTCTCCTGCCTCAGACACGCACTCCATCTAATTATCACCCTCTGAAGATAACATTTAGTGCCTCGTTTAACACTCTGGTTTCTTTACGTTCCTGAGAGACAAACACACAATCTAATGTTTCTGTCGAATATCGGTTTAGATGTTTAGGCTCGCGCTGGAGAAAGACGGTGTCAGTCTCTATAATTTGTTATAATTGGATTGGATTTTCAGCAGTGATGTAACAATTTGTGAGAGGAAACTCAGGGCAGACGGAGGAGGGACAGGGGTTAGGCACAGACTGTAGAGTTATGTGAGAATTTTCCTCTGCTGTGTGGAAAAAGAACCACACACCCCTTCTCTGTATACCCACAAAGGCGCCCTCCTCAAGCACACACACACACACACACACACACACACACACACACACACACACACACACACACACACACACACACACACACACACACACACACACACACACACACACAATCAAACACACACACAGATGATCAGAAGATTTCACAGATTTATCTCTCTGCTGGTCTCTAAGGCAACAAGCTGCCCAGAGAGCGATAGTTTCATTTCTTTTTACTAACAGAGAAAGAAGGAAAGAGAGAGATAGAGGAGCCGTAACAAGGGACTACCATCACAAGACTTTTCACTCAAACAGGATAAGAAAGAAATGTCTCTCTCTGTCTTTTACACACACACTGACTCACACACATGGACTTTTAAAAACCAATATATACACTGCATACAGCTTCACCTGTCAGTGCCATAGTGGTTATTGTGTTGTGAAGTGTATTTAATGTTTGCAATAGCCTGGGGATTTCTTCTAATGCTTAGCAAGAAAACATATTCAGACAATCCTTCCAAAAAAAGATATACAGGCATCTGCTGGAAATTCAGCTGCTTGTTCTCAAAGGGAAAAAAAAATCACCCTTTTAAGATAAAGGATATTCATCTTGTGGCAATGATACATCAGTATAAACGAATAAATAAAATGTTGTGAGAGCTGAAATAAAACAGCCACAATGAAAATATACAGGCACTGGGCTCAGATGTAGTGCTACTATATGGTCGATAAACATTGAGAGAGAGGTGTTGGAAGTGGAGGCCGTGGCAGGCTGTGAATTAAACACACAGTAAAAGAGAATCGATAGCTGGAGCCCAGGGAGACAGCGGATGAATGAAAATAGCAGCTGCAGCTCTAACGTTGATCGATAAGTGTGAGTGTTTGTCTAAGCGTGAATCTGTGTGTATTAATCTTTCGATGTGTGTGTGTTTGTGTGACCTCGCAGCAGCAGATGTCTCAGTGAGTTTTAAATGGAGAGCTATGTGGAATATCAAAGACCTGCTCTGAACAACTCATCATTCACAGTGGGCTCAGTTGGAGAGAGAATCCACTTCAATACCAGATCCAGGTCACACACACACACAGAGACAAATGCACAACTGATTACACTTTTGTTTATGATTTGCAACAGATACTATTGCATTTGTCTGGGACATTATGTTACCACCAACATCAGCTTTGGCACTTTTTGATTTGATGGCATTTATAAGCTTGTAGTATAAAAGGAGTGTTTTGTCATAAGGTCATTTATATGTCAATACTAATTAGTAGATGTTGTGTTAGAAAGTGGTCATTAGTGTAGCAGTTGGGCCCTTTCTGAATCAATAAAGAAAAAAAATTAGACTGGAACTATGAAACAAATCATTTGAGGGCGAAGTGAAAACATATTGAATAAAACAGTGGTTACCTTGAGTTATTCCACTTCTACGCCTTTTGCCATGTAGCAGGCTCACTATTTAGTTAACCCTATCATTTGTCTGCCTCAGCATCCTGTGACAAATTACTGGACTCTCCACGCAGCCAAGTGGCAGCATGTGTTCCACAAACATTTGACAGACTACTGTTCCATTTCCCTTGATTGCACTGAGACAAAAAGAAAATACCAGTTTGAGGACTTTGTACATAATCAAAACTGGAGTTTCTTAAAGAAACTATCATTTCTGTTTTGTATCTTTTTTGCCCTCTGATGAACATTGGTGCTCCAGATCCAGAAGCAAAGGCTGTTAAAGATGTAATGTATTTGTAGCCAGCTGCGCCAACAAACACAGTAATGTACTATATGTTGTCCAGCACCCAACTGAATGGAAAGGTTGTTCAGACAGCAATGAACTGCCCACTTGGGGCTTTTTGTTTAAATCACACACACCCTGTGATGGGAGAGCTAAAGAGGGAAGAGGTGCTGGACAGTATGTCTCTGTTTGAGCGAGACAGTGCTCCCACACTGCACCTATACCAAGCACCAAATAAGTCAAACACAATTTATGTAAGATGTTACTGCACAAGCAAGACACAGGGACCACAACACAGTTTCTCCTTATAAGAGTAGAGAAGGAAACATACAATAACTTTTGTAACTTTGTAAGCTTTCGATCACTATGTGCTGATAAGGAAAGACAAGCAGTATAGCTTCATCTCATTACAAACAAAAGAACATATAGCTTCAAAACAATGATTTGAAAATTTTCTTGTGTGTCATGAGCTCAGTCTTTGGCCTGTCTCTGCCCCTTGTTTTCCCTTTATTGTTATGTCCTGACCATGTCTTTGTCCTACTTTTCCTCCTCCACCAAAGCTCCGCCCTTTGCACTCACCTGCACTCAGTGTACATCAACCAGCCAGTATATAAGCCAGCTCCATACATTCACTCACTGCCACATAGTTGATGATGAATTTACTTTTCACTCACCAGTTATTGTTGTCTCTGCTCATTCAGGTTCTGCTAGATGTCTCTGTATTATGGACATTTGTTCTATGGACTTCTGGTTAGTATGGAAGAAATCTCTTCACTGCCTGGTTCTGATTTTCTGCCCCAAGTCTGAACTGTTTGGCTGTTCTGCTTGCCTAGCCACAGAAATTTCTAACTTTCATGCAATGGCAGCATTTCATTCTGTTGCTTGAAGCAACAAATACTAACTCTACTCATCCAGCACAGGCCACTTAGTATCCAGTTGCATCATGGACTGGTTTGAAAATTTGGCAACATCTGTAAGAATGCAAATTTTTGTAATTAATGGATTGGTTGATAAATTTTTGTGCATGCTGGGAGAGGCCCCAGCCCTTTATAATGATGAAAACAAGTATGTCTGCACTCAGAGAGTACAAACCTCCGCCAAGGCAGATCTGTTTCCCCATAATGCTACTACACCTAAAAGAAATGTTCCAATGATAGTGTGACTCTCATAATATGATTCCATGATTATGAAAACCTACTCATAGCATTTGGAATCACATTGATATCATTATATTAGTTTAGTCAGGATAAAAGATTCCTGGATCCAGATCAACACCAAAATGTAATGTAAAGGCCATACCTTACCTCTCCAAAAAATGTTCATCAAAATATATTCATTACTTTTTGAGTTTTCCTGTGAACAAACAGAAGTAAAAACACAACTTCCTTGGTGCAGGTAATGAATGCCTTAACATTTGAGGCCATTTGTGTGTTTGCTGTCTGGGATTTTACACATCATCCTGGAGACTCATCTACTCACTAGTCTGTCTTTACAGCCTCTTTGTGTTCAAACCCGTGCACTTGCAAACTATTCTAACTGACACAGCCATGATCACTAGCTAGATCAGGTCACGCTAAGTGGGAAGGAATTAGTAGACGGGGTAAGTGTGCTAAATCAAATCACAACTTTGAAGCTGTGGTGATGACACTGAAGTCAGGGGACCGCAGTGTAGTTTGTAGCCTAACAATTGCTTTTTTACTTCTGGTGATTGTATTTGGGCTTCAGAAAACACAAAAGTGGTGTTCACTTATGAAGATGATCTTTTTGAAAAAACATCTAAACGTCATAAACCAGCTAATCCCAGATCAGCACCTTGGACAGCCACTGACACTTTGGTGCAGAATGTTAAAAACTGGGTGTTTGTTTTGCAGCATGACACATATTATACTGTTTATTGCTGTTAATTGATATTTTTCTGCTTTTTATGTTACTGATTGTATAACCTAGGTTAGCTCTCATTCTATTGCGGCAAAATGGGTTAACAAAGGTCAGACTAATTTATATTAGTGTAGATTTATTTGTTTCCACTTTATAACTAGTATTTCTCTGCACAGGAAGTTGATTGTTGCAGCATGCATGTCACCGGGATGACACTACATGTGCTTGTGAGTTTGTGTAGGGTGGCAGACTGTTTACTGGCCTGGCAAGCATAAGCCTACGTGCATTATTGGTCAGCAATGCCCTTCCTCTCTGTGCCA